CCCAGATGACCAGCCTCAAGGTTCTGATCCTCCCGCTCAATCGCTTCGCGTCCGTCCCGCCCCTTCAAAGCAGAAGCCTCGAGGAACTCTTTCTCATGTGGAATAACATTTTGAGGCTTGAGAAAGACGGATGGGGGACTCCTAAATTGAGGAAACTCATGTTAGGTGAGTATTCAACATCTCGTGCAACAGGGGAATATTCCCATTTTCATGCGTAGGCTCGAGACTTTAACTTCGTCTGTTTTTTCTGAAACAACTAAGGCAGGGGTCGGGAATATTTTTGACTTAATGAGCCATATTAAGATTGAGCTAAGTCAGGGCTGCTCAACTTCTATGAGAGAAGGTCCACAAACCAAAAATAATGGAGGCCCGCCGGCCCGGAAAAAAAAGTCTCAATGTGACAGCTGGCAGTTGCTATCTTGCGCAATTTTCTTGAAGTCAGGAGTGATTGTTGTGAGAGCGACGCGAAGGCATTGATGTCTGTGGTCGTTCGTCAGAGAAGCGCGATACCGGTTCTTCCGAATTTTGAAAGTTGAAAACGCACTTTCACATATGTAGGTGGACCCAAACATTGTCAGTACTATGACGGCCAGCTCCTCTAGTTGTGGGTCCTTGGCAGAAGGCATTAGTTCACCCCAGAACATTTCTAGATTTTCTGGTGACTCTGTAAACCTGGCCTTCAGTTCTTCATCCGCATGAATGTCAGGGAGCTCCAGCTGCAGATCGGCGAGCTGGAGAGATGGGAACAAGACATGGCATCTTTCGCCCAAGCCCCTCGCGGAGAAGCCACAAATGGATTCATGATTCACAAGAACACCTCTTTGTTGTTACGAAGCTCACAAAAGCGGCAATTGAAGTCTTTGGACAGTGATGCGATGCAACCTTTGAATGTGGATGACAACCGTTGAGTGAAGTCGCACTCTTCTTGAAAACATCGCAAAGTTGGGAAGTGGAAAAGATCGCCACTCAAAACGTATTCCATGAAAACTTCCACTTTACTTTGAAAGGCAGTGACTGCCTGAAACAAGTCTCAAGCTGTCTTCTTGTCCCCTTGAAGCAAGAGGTTTAATTTGTTGGGACGAGCTGCGATGTCGGTAAGAAAAGGCAGGCGCTGCATGTCATCTCTATTGCCCAGGAATTCGAGGAGTTTCTCCACCTTTAATTGACTCCATGAGTGGCTCCATAAGAATGGAGCGACCTCATCCTTCAGAGTCCAAATGTGATCCAGAACATGTCCCTTGCTTAACCAGTGGGTATTGTTATGAAGAAACAAATAATCATAGACCGCTCCCATGTCCTGCAGAAAAGAGCGAAACAGTCGATGTTGAAAGGCAGATGTTCCTCGCAAAAAATTAACTAGCTCCAATATCTTCCGCGTGCAGTCTGAGAAGTTTCCAGATAACCGGCGCAAAGAGCAATCTCATGAATGATGCAATGATATCCTCTGAAAGTGGGAACAACCTCCTTCATATGAGTCACTAGTCCAATGTGCATTCCCATCATGCAGGGTGTTCCATCCGTTGTCACGCGGAGAAGATGGTGCATGTCAAGTTGACGCTGCTTTGTGAAATCTGAGATAGCTTCAAACATATCCACCGCCCCGGTATGACCAAGCAATGGCAACAAGCACAGCAGGTCCTCATAAAAACGATGAGCCACTTTGTCATAAAATCGCACAAAGGCGGAAAGTTGCGCGACATCATTGACATCTGTTGTTTCGTCAATTCCGAAAGCAAACCACTGTGCATTCTGTATCTTCGTGCTTAGCGTTGACAATGTGTCTGAGGCCAATACCTCCGTACGTCGTGTTGTTGTCATGCATGAAAGAGGAACTTGCTTAAGGGGAGGAATAACAGTTTTTTTCACATTTTCGTCGACTAAAGACTCGACGACTTGAAGCATGTAGTCCTTGATCAATTCTGAATCAGAGAATGGCTTTCTCCCCATTCCAAGTTTCAAAGCTACTCATAATGAAGCTTCTGCTACGCGTTGGGAGACGTTCATTGACCGAGCCATGATAAATTTCCAGCATGCGATTGCTTCAAAGATACAATTTTTTGTCGCCTAAGTGGCAATCCTTTGGGGAAATCTGCATGGAAACTGCGGTGCTTCGTTTTCTTGAGGAGCTGGCCACCACTGTCACGAGGATCGCACAACATGAAAAGACGAGAAATAGTTGCAATCGAACCTCGAAAATTAACTGGCTGGGTATCTGTCTTTCTATCTCGGTCCTTGTTAAGGTCAATGCAACTATCAGCTGATTGAACGAGTTCACAGCACTACCTATGGGTAGGGCATGGGGAAAGCGGGCCAAAAAGTCGAAAGGAGCTAAGGTCGTCCGGCGGTCCGCAGGTTGGGCAGCGCTGAGCTAAGTGCTTGTGAGCGAAAGATTTTCATAACAACATAATTTTTCCAGAAGTTGGCAACAGACATGCATTCTTCGATACATGAGAAAAATGAGGATCAACCATGACTTTCAGCCGTGAATCAATGAGCCAAACCTTTCGGCTCGTGAGCCAATTTTCGCTCATGAACCATAGGTTCCCGATCCCTGGACTGAAGGGTGGCGTTCTTAGCCACAACGGTAAACACAAGTTAGGCACCGAGTGCTTAACAGTGAAATCATTCTGAAAACAAACTCTATTGTCCATATAGTTTTAAATCTCTTTTGATGCAATGTAAAAGCAGTCTGCAAGCAATCAGACTTTACCTTTCCGGCTGCAGGTGCATGGCACAAGCGAAGCCGGAAGAGTTCTCAGCAGTTCACATTTCCCGGGAAAGTTTGAAGATGTTGTGCTTTCAGAAATGATCTCGTACTCCCTTTGAATATAACTGTTGATAAAATGTTGATAACATGTTGATATCTTATTTCTAGCCTTTTATTCAGCCCAATTGTTATAGTGGTGGAATAGCATCTAGGTTTTTCTCGCATTCCATGGCATAGCTTCAGTCGAAAAACGATCTCTTCTTCATCTTGTGATTCTCTCCCACGTGTTCCATGCAGATGGGAACCCTTTTTCGGAGTTCCCATCTGATGTCATTAATGGATTGGAGAGACTGGAGGAATTCTCTTGCGCGGAATGCAACCTGGGCCCGAACATTCCGAGCGGGTTCATCAAGTCCCGCAGCGAGACCTTGAAGGTGGTGAATCTCGCTTGGAATAAAATCGTCACGTTGGAGCCCGGAGCCATCACAGGTAGGATCCCCAGTCCTCGTCCAGCCCCCTTCCCCTTCAGATCGTGGATGCGATTTTCCCCAAATGTCTGTCGGGCCCGATTAATAATTTCCTAGCTCCGAATTCGGAGATGTGGGGATGATTGCGGTATCTACTGGGTCCTTCAGCATTCCCCATTGTGCGCACCGCTGCGTCCGGGAATTCAAATTTGGCCCCTGTGTTCTATTTCAGTGGCGGGGTGGGTGCTGGATGAGAGGGCGTGCAAAATCAGTGTATTTCCTACAGACATCGATTTTTAGTTGTTGGTTTCCGCTAATTCGAGTGCACAGATTCGCTACATTCGATTCGTTTCCATAACAATTTCCTACACCATCTGCCGCTAACCAGGACTTTCATGGTGACTGCAGTAGGCAAAACTTTTCTTCGTATTCTGAGTAATTCGAGCGGATGGAAGTGAACAAACGTCGAACGAGACTCCTGACTTGAATTTAGGAACGTACATTTCAACGAGGAAAATGTTTTTGCCCTATCGATTTTTTTTTTAACTTCTTCGAGAGACGTAAACCTAGATCGTTTTCTCCACCTCATCCTAGGATTAATTTTTTTTAAGTCCTTGAAATTCGGTTTTTGAGTTACGCCTCGCAGATTTCAATCGGCTGGGCATGAAAGCACAATAATTTCTCTCATTAATCGCTTTCCTCATTTGCCCGAGAACTCCAGGGTTCATGTACTAGCCGAGGTCGTACGTTTGAAAAATTTTCAAATTATTAATGAACCCTCCTCTGAGATCACAGGTCGTAGGAAATCCAAAATTAGTTGGCCTCGAGACCTTCAGGAATACGACTTTTCGAATGGAAAATGTCATAAGTGCTCTCCGAAAGTGTCTTAAAGTCAAAGGGCACTGAGTCCCAAATTTCAAAAGGTTCTGAGGCTTTCGTCCTTCTGAGCAATGTTTGAAATTTGATCAAAGTTAACGAACAGATGAGCGTTTTCTCAGGTTTCCCAGTTCGACGCCTCGTTCCTTTCGTTCAATCGGCCAATAACTCAATATTGTGATGAAATATTTTTTACAATGCATATTGGCTCCAAAATGTTCACAGAATTATAATATACTATAGCAACCGGTACATTTTTATGGGTATTTTCGAAAAAAGAAAGAAGACATTAAAGTTCTGGGAGATGCTATGTTAATGTGTGGTCTGAATTGACCTCCAAAAATGTAAAATTCTAAGCGACACCGATCAATCTTTGCATAATATACACGTAGAAAAGGGACCTTTTTTTTTTTAGCAATATGTATCACTCAGTGGATGTGGAAATAAACTAGCCGAATTAAGTACTAGAATTTACATAAGGCTATGAACATATATCACTCAATCCAAGCTGTGGAATTCCATGAGATATGCGAAGCAGGACAAACGCAATTAGGTACCTTATCATCTATGTTCCATATTTGATACATAACAGTACCAGAAACAGAAACGTGGGCCTTGGTCACGCCTATACCGCTGTCACGCTTACCGCGAATCGCACTATGGGAGTGGTCCGCCTTGCAGGTGCATGTTTCTACCATGAAATGGATTAGTGTCAGCATACCATGAAATGTATCATTCAGGTGAAGATGTTGTTTAGCTCATCTCACAAAGTCTTCAGCATGAATTGAACGATGCAAATAATCCTATTACTGGAATTTTCAGTGATACATGACTCAGTTGAGATGCAATTAGATTGAACGGAGGCGTTCTTGGCTTATCATACCAAGTCAATCACAAACCTCTGAACATTTTTTCAGTATTGTTTGGAAGTAGTAAGCGAAAAGCGTATGATGGTCTCTTGTCCATTCCAGATTTGACACCCAAAACGAATGTTGATCTACAACACAACAATATCGCCACTTTCCCGAAGGAAAGCTTCCAGTCCATTCTACAAGTCCTCTCGCGCGGGAACGGGATCCTTAACGTGAATTGTGAGCTTCACGGTTTTTCTCGCAACACTCTACGATCTCCCAAAACCCGTTATTTTGCGTCACATGATGAATGAGAAATTGAATAATACAGCCTTTCCAATATTGATTTGTCCAGCATTTTCTCCGGAAGGAGGAACACCAGCGGGGAATACCATTCAGTGCGATTGTGAAGCTGGATGGTTAGCGAACGACCGACTCTTCAAAAGCATCGGTGGGAAATGTCAGAACGGAAGCGAATTTCAGAAATTCAGATGGGACGAATTAGAGTGCCTTCAGCCCTGCCCCTACTCCTGCGTCCATGTCAGCCTCTTTTCTATCTGCAAACCGGAGACAGTCATCTTGTCGAAGGTGGAGGGCTGCCGAGCCCAGGAGATATGCTGCCAGCCGAACTTCCAATCGATCGTCGCGGCCACGACGACGACTCCCCGACCGACAGGTACGATTTCGGCGTGAATCGGTCGGTCCGAGATTCCACACCAAAAGTGATTTTATCGTCCGTAAAACTCCTCTTTTTGACCTTGGTATCAGAGGTCATCTTTGACTCCTGCTCTTTTACTTGCATTTTTGAGAAGGCCGGATTCATTTCGTGCCGATATCTAGTGTGTCCCAGAAACCCCGCCCAAGTTTTGTACATCACCATGTCTTCATTTTTTCTGATGGAAATTAATATGTATCATTCGAAAGCCTAGTCCTTTGTCAACAACTGCTGTCATACCTGACGGTTCGTGATAACTGGTTGTGGGGTTTTCGAAGGAGAAGGTGTGTGCTACAAATCCCCTTTCATCCTTGACCTCATCAGCGCCATTCACTTAGACTTAGTCTCTGTCCAATCTGGGGGCGAAGTTTCTGGGATGTAGGGATTAAAACCAGGGATTCAATGTTTTTGCCCCTGAAAGTGGTTCCCATACTGATCATGACACATACGGCATCACCGGGGAAAGTCATTCACTGCCTTCTGGCACATGTCCAAGGTTATGGCTTTCAGTTTGGTGGAAATGGCACTGATGAGGATAGGGATGTAAGGGGTTTTGTGGCATACACCTTATTCGAAAAACCCTACAACCAGTATTCACAAACTGTTAAGTTTTATAGCAGTTTTTAATAAAGGTCTAGGCTTTCGAATGATACAAACTCATTTCCATCAGAAAAAAGACATAATAATGTACAAAACTTGGGGCGGGGTTTCCGGGACACCCTGTAGATGGATTCATTAGTGGGTGGTTGAAGCGTGCGTAGGGATTGGTTAGGATCATATCAAGGAAATTAAATGTACAGGGTGTCTCAGAAGTAGTGAACCAATGCAAATCGCATATCCTCTGCGCGATCGAAACGATCTACACGGCATTGAAAACAGAATTTTGGAGAGTTTTTTCAAATTGATATATTTCGCTCGCAGCACACGCATCATTATGAGAAGAGTGGTGACGATTTTTCTGAACAGCATTATTTTTTTTAAATATCCGTAGATCGCCAACGTGGATGAGCTTAGAACGCATTCACAAGACATGTAATCAGGTCACTTTTGAGATGAAACGTGAGACATTCTTAGCCCACGATGATCGACTACAGGGAGGCTTGAACAATGAATTCAAGTGTCATATAAGCCGTGATTGTTTGAGTTGTGTTGCTCCTATTTCTGTTGTACTTGATGAATACATGATTTCCATGGAAATGTTTATGGAAAAGGCATGTTCCTAAAACCCTCTCGAACTGATCTCATTTTAATCCATCATGTCTGTTCATGCGTCAAATAATTTCCCCCCAAAATCAGCTTTCAATGTTGAAAAGATCTTTTTTATCCGAGTGCGGGGCGTCTAAAAATTACAATATGAATTCGTTCACAACTTATCAGACAGCCTGTACATTGTTCAAATGCAAAAAATGGTTCCGGATTCGAAGTGGAAAATTAGTCAAACATTTTAGAAGATGCGGATCATGCGTATTTATTTCGCGAAAATGAGTGAAATAAAATATAGGTACATCAATTGAATGCGCGAACTACTGCATCACGGCCTATAAAGTGTCAAAGGTTTCACCCATATCTTGAACGAAGAAAAATGCTTAAGAACACTTCAGATCTGTATCTGTTCCAGTCGTGGGTTCGAGAGGATGCGAAGAACCTCATGAATTCCTGAACGGATTTGTGCGAAAGTCTTGCTCAGGTGTTTTCACGAGGTAAGGAAAAAAATTTCCAAGATTCATGCCAAATTTGTCTATATTGTATTTGTTTAAGATAATTGGCATGGTACGAAATAAATATTACGAAATTTCTTTCGGCAGTGCAAGTGGAGAAGCCGACGTAGGAATCAGCACAGATTGCATCAGAGACGGGAAGTACGTGCCCGGAAGCAAAGTGGAATACAAGTGCGACGATCATTATAACATCAGGGGATCGCAGATCCGGATCTGCACAGAGAGCGGAAAATGGACTGGTCACATCCCCTTCTGCGATCCGGGTGAGTCTCAATCCTCCACCGATTCGAAGTAAATTCACCGCACCTCAGCATGCAGCCCTCCTCCCGACGTAGAATGTGGGAAGAGGCTTTTGGTGACGGGGTTGTCGGCTGGGGGCAAGCCGTCGAGTCTCGGAGAATGGCCATGGCAGGCTGCCATTTACGATGTCGATAAGAAACTCATCGTTTGCGGAGGGGCTCTCATTCGGAAGCAATGGGTTCTCACGGCAGCTCATTGTATCGCATATGGTGGTTCCTCACGACCTCGGCCTCAGAATGACTTCCGCGTTTATTTGGGGAAACATTATAGGAATGATTCATTGGACGATAACTTCGTCCAGCAGAGAGAGGTCACAGAGTTATTGTTATATCGCTCCCTTATCGATATTGCCAGCGTTACATGATGTGAATTAATACAGTTCGTTTCCAGGTATCTGTGATCGTTTCATCCAAAGACTTCAGCATTCATAACTTCGACTCTGACATCGCCCTGCTGAAACTGACCGAGCCGGTCCAGTTGACGGACAGAGTGCAGTTGATCTGCATCCCGAAGAATCTTCAGATCACAGAGAACAACCTCAAGGATGGAAACATAGGATCGGTGAGACTTAGTTTCATTTCCGCTCGTTCCCCAAAGCGTCGGTTTCTCGTCATCTGCTCGGTTTCACGGCAGGTGGCGGCTTGGGGTTTGAGCAGTTTGGATGTCCTCAGCGAAGAATTAACGAAAATACAGATCCCGGTGGTAGCAAATAATATTTGTCGTCGGGATCTCATTTATCTCCCTGGCAATCCTGACACCTACCGCACTCTCACCGTCAATCAATTCTGTGCTGGGCAAAACAGGACTATCTCTGAGAAAGGTATGGCCAAGGGGCGGGTAAATGCCTCTAAGGAAATTGATATTAAGTCATTTAGTAATCTTTCATTCGTGCATCATGTCCTCGTGATTCCAACCCGATCAAGAAATGACGTCTGTAGCTTTTTGCAATACGTATTTAAAATGTGGATGTTTTTTGTAAGAGGACTTATAATAGTTTCTCTACCCAGATTTTATCTTCTACACATAAATTACTGTTTAAATGAACATAATTTCCTAATTATTTCGTGGTGGTGGACCATCCAATACTTCATTTCAGCTATTCATCTACACCCACACTTCATAACAATATTATCATGCTCATCAACAGGGTTTGGAGCTTTTACTTCAGATCGATGCATCTATTGTGCGTATTTTTTTTTTCTCATCCCGACCTCCACTGGTAAGGTGGAGGTCGGGATGTGAAAAATTAAGCATTCGGGGAATTTGGATGGAAAAAGGTGACCAGGGGATACGCATATTCAGGAAGATCGTCAGTGAACACTGGATGATTTTCTCACCTAGTGGGTCCATTTTCAGTCCTCAGAAATATATTTTTTTTGAGCTAGGCATTGACGTTGGCGATTCCGGTGTTCTTGAAATTACAAAAATTACTTTTTTCATTGGTTTTCTATTCGTGACGTCCATATTAATGGAACTCGTGGAATTTCATGCACAGAGATCCAAACGGTGTGTCCCGGGGATTCAGGCAGTCCGATGGTCTTCTACTCAAAAACCTTGGACCTCTGGCACATCGAAGGAATCGTGAGTCACCATCTCGGCAAAAAGGAATGCTCCAAGAGGCGGGGTGGCGAATATGGGATTTTCACCAGGGTTCATCGGTGAGGCCCTCGCTTTTCCTTCTATCCATTTTTCTATGGATTCGCAAGTACAGATCCATCTCATCGATCGTTGTTGGAACATGAGTCTTCATGTCCCTTTCTCAGATACGTCGAGTGGATCGAGACGGTGATCGGGTAAAGACTACGATGGTCATCTTTTCCTACTTCAGCCACATCTGTAATTCGTTCCGGACGGGCGATGTGCAAAAGTCGGAAAAAAAATGTTTAATGGAGAGATACAACGGTGTGACTTACTTCTAATAAAAAGATGACATTGTACTGCATTTAGAAAATATTTTGACAAGTTTCCGTACAATGAATAGGTTGCATGCGTATAATGCAACGTGTAGAAATTGATTTCCTTGTTGCTCTCCTTGTTTTTAAGTACACATTACATCTTTGTTATCTTCACGGAACATTTTTATTTTTCATAAAATATTGCGGTTTAGGAACCGAAATTCGAAATTGAATCCTTAAACGAACAATGCGCCCGATTCGCGTCAGGAAAAAAGTCCGTTTCGAACATTCCGCGAAAATTTCCCATTTTCAAACGCACCTTCCTGTATCGACACCTTAGGGGAGCTACCCGACACCTTTAGTTTCTGACCCGAACGGAAGAGGTCTCCCGCGAGCCCTCGAAATCCCCACAATCGTGACATCATAATGCCGCGGAAAAGGAGATTGGCTTCTCAAGGTCAAAATGTATTTTCATGTAAATTTAGGGCTGTGCCGATTATCGCGAAATAGCGATGTCTTTATGTTTTAATTTTGAAAATAATTATTTTTTCTCCTCTATTGTGGAGGGAGAGGGGAAACGGAGCACACTAAACGCGCCATTAACAATAATGGCATAGGATGATGTCAGGATAGACTGTCGACCTAAATGGCAGATGTTCAGTCCTTCTGGCAACACTTGTATGAGTAGGTGGAACCATTTAATGCAGATGCATCATGGATAGAACGGTTCAAAAGCTTCTGTGACATCCATCTAAAAGAAGCTGCTGATCCATCTTGCCCTCCGATTACACCTGAATGTGTGCGAGCCGCCCTGAAAGAAAAAATAAATTTATCCGCCCCAGGGCCCGATGGGATCAATAACTTCTGGTGGAAAAAGTTCCCTTCGACGCATTCCCACATCGCTCGTAATTTCCATCAGATTCTGGAAGGGAGCCAGCCGATTCCAGCGTGGCTGGTGGAAGGCAGAACTGTTCTCATATCCAAGGGTGGAGACATTTCCCAGCCCAATACCCTTCCCCTCCCAGCCTCAATACCCTTTACAAGACCTTCACAGGGATATTGAACGAAACCATCTTGTCAGAAATAACACCAGTCTGGAATGAGCTTTCCGAACAGAGAGGTTGCAAGCGCGGCCTAGCAGGTTGCAAAGAAAATCTGCTGGTCTATAGAACCGTTTGTTCGGATGCTGTCCATTACAAGCGCAACTTGTCCATGGCATGTGTGGACTATCGCAAGGCATTCGACACCACCAACCATCAGTACCTATCGGTAGTGATAGAATGTTTGCACGTTCATCCTAGCATACGGAGATGCTTAACAGATCTCATGGGAGTCTGGAGGACGCGCTTCTCCATAACATCTGGGAGGAAAAAGGCCCTTACTGACTACATTCAGTTCAGAAGGGGGGTATTTCAGGGAGATTCCCTGAGCCCTCTTTTGTTTTGCATCTCCCTCTTGCCCCTCTCAGTTCAACTGAGGCAGACGACAGGCTATATGGCAGGTCCACCAAACTGCCGCTCGCACAGGGTCACGCATCTGTTTTACATGGACGACCTGAAACTGTATGCGTGTAACCAGGGTCAACTTCAACAGGCTCTTGAAGTAGTTCACTCCTTCACCCGTGATATCGGTATGGAGTTTGGGTTGGACAAATGTGCTGCTCTCCACCTGAATAGAGGCAGATGCACTGAACTAGGTGATGAATTTCGATTAATACAAGAGAAAAAGGGTTCAAATACTTTCAAAATAGTTACCAACCTAGAACATTTAAGAATCATGGGCAGTGCAATAATTGAGTCGCAGAAAAACTCAAAGCTAAAAACCAGGAAAATATTTCAATCAACTATGGAAATATCACGTTCCCGTCAGACAGTGCTACGATGCAATTCATAGCATTAGCGAGAAAGGGATGCCCTGCTACGTGGATGTGAGTAGGGAGGTGGGAAACTATTATCCCAGTAACCTATAAAGGGTTAAACAGGGAGGCATATAGTCGGGAATCATAGGGTATTTCATTCTATGACGATATTCATTATTTTTCCTTTCCTTCCAGGTAAATAATACCTGCAATATTAAGAAAAGGCGAGAGGGCGTAATTAATAATAAATAATGAATCTTTAGGAATGATTATTATTTCAAGAGTTAATGTTGTCCAATGGTGAATGGTATGATGCGCGACTTTTCAGCCACTGTATACAGGTATAGACGATCGGGAGTGAGTGAGTGACTGACGCTAATTCGAACTATATTCTAGAAATGATGAGAGGCTGAAACTTGGTACACAAATAGCCGTTAGATTGCTGACTCCAGAAAAAATCACACTTAGGAGAACATGCCCTGGTGGCACATTTCGAGGGGGGGGTAGGGCTGATTGATGAGCCTAGGCCTAACCCTAATTCCGTGCACTTTGTATCTGTTATCCTTTTCCTCAACCAAACGTCATTTGTATTAAGCCATATGTATCCGAAACCCAAGGTTCGACAAGATACACGATTAAAACGAGACAAGGCTTTCCAAATGTTACTATTGCATTTTAAAACTACTTTAAAGAATTTCATGAGATCCTATAGAAAATTTTTCGCACGGGTAGGGTAAAAGGCCCAGTGATAGGCCACAGCACATAAAAATTCCAGCAGCTAAGCTCCCATAGCACGCCTACCACTGTTGTGATATAAGCTACCATTCAAACACATACGCACTTTGGAGGTGGTCATGGAAAAGAGGGAGTTGATTGCAAGTGATGAGGATATGGCCAGTATACTTAACAAGTTCTTCGCTTCCGTTTTCACTGTGGAATCCGAGTCGGCACCGACGGCACGAGTGAGGCACCGACTTTCGAGGAAGTGACCTCGGCGCGCATCGAGGATATTTCCATCACCGAGGAGACGATCGTGAACATGATAGGGAAGTTGGCGGTGGGCAAGGCGACCGGTCCCGATGGGATTCCCAAGAGAGTCATTAAAGAAACCGCGAGAAAAATATCGGTTCCGCTAAGAATCATAATCGAAAGCAGCTTTTCGCGCGGGGAAGTACCAAAGGACTGGAGATTAGCAAAAGAGTGCTCCCGCTGCATGCATTAGAATTGCCTGCAAATGAACGACCATTACACATCTTGAACAAGTATGACAATTTTGGCGAATATGTGTCATGCCCATGTTGTTTAACTTCATGCTTGCATATTTTTGCCATAATTTCACGGACCACATTTGAAAGCGGTTTTTGACTAAGTGTTGTGAAATAACGTAACAATGGTGTATTAAACCGAAATACGAATGAAGCTGGTGCTGATTTACCCAAGAGCAGATACAAGTTTCAGGCAAACTACCATGATTACCAGTACCAGAGTACCAGAGTACAAAATATATTGAAAAACATTTAGCCCCATATCTGTTCTCAGCAACGAGTTCGGCGATTCAGAAGACCTTGACAACACCGTGATACCGTCAGCTCACAAGACTACCTTCTGCATCACTTCGCCAGGTAAGGGATAGAGGAATATCCCTACTGGGGTTCTGGGCATGAAAACATGTCCTTGTCCATTGTCCTTTCAATCCAGGCGATCACACTCCCTGAAAGTCGGGAATGAAAATGCCAACGAAAGATCAGAGAGAAAAACAAACCGAGCACAATGATTAAGAGAGATTAACAAAATACCTGTGATACGGGCATATCCAGTCGGGATTTTCGGATCGCAGTTCCCTTTCGTCCATGAAGTTATTCCTGCCAAGATATACAGTGGGGATCTCGAGCATTCTCGTTCATCCGCTCGCATCGATAATCGACCGGTTGTTGGCTCTTCGAATGGATATCGTGTGTACCTGAGAATTGTTGCCAGCCCTGCTCCTCCAACTCCCTGTGGAATTCAGTCCTCAACTTCAGTCTATGGCAAATCCCTGAGGAAGGAAATGGTAATTTTATCCTGGGTGCTCCTGGTAATTACGTTGCAGATTCGTCCCTGTCGTTCCAAAGCACAGATCATTGTCTCTTTATGGTAGAAGGGCCCAATCACTTTGGAACAGATTTCAGGAGGAAGCATATTTACACTTGTTATTTGTACCCATCTCGACAACGGTCCCGTCCTCAATCCACCTGAAACCCGACAAAAGGGGGAAACCTCCAATACAGTCCAACGGTTACATGTTTTTAGAAGCCATAAGAAGGGATTTACCTCTACCACTAAGGCCCCAGCCAGCAACTACTCCTTCCCTGATGTTTTCGTCCAAATGATCAGATTTCGGGAGGCAGATGGGACGAATATTGGGATATTCAAGGAAGGGAACCGTATCATTCAAAATGATGACAGCAAAGTCATTCTGGTATGTACTGACATTGAAGCCCGGATGGATGAATATTGACCTGATCTTCATATCCAACTGACCAGTTTCGGGTTGAAGTCTGTCGTAATCGCCCAGCGACACGTAGAATGAGTCTGGTTCCTCTCTATAGCAGGATAGAATATTTGTATTGTTGGGTGTCGAACTGTGTCTCACATAATGCATTTTTTATGTTGAGACAACTGTATTGAATGATAATTTCTGTATGAGTCGCGTTGCATGCAGATATTGAAACTGTTCTCATGTTAGTCTCAACATAAAACCTTCTTCGTAAGTTTTGAGGACTCCAGTTAAGACACTCATTATGTCAACTAAGCGACGATCTCTTACCTCCCATTATATTATAGATCTAATGGCGATGATACAAACGACTCATGTCCGAAATACCTGTAAACGCAATGAGCGGCAGTGAGGACAATCTGGCTATTGATGAGGGTACCCCCACAAACAAACTCCCCATCCTTCGTCTTGAGACCCGCGTTCCAAAGCCAAGATCTACCCCAGGCTTCGTATTGCCTAAGGGCTGTTGACGCATGAAGAATCTGGTCCGTCTCGGTTTCCATCCTAACGTCAAGACAACGGGTCAAACCGCAGTCTAAATGCAGGAGAAGAAGCAGCGGAAGATATGAGGAACCAGTTTGACAAAGTTTTAAATAGAAAACATATTCTTGAGAAAAAGCACTGGATGACATACCCTCTCTTCATACTAGAAATCATTGAAACTTAATTGCTTTTAGGAATTCATTTTTCTCACCAAAATATTACAGCCATTTCCTTAGTCACTTCAAAATGAAAGCACATACGCAATTGCTATATCACGTAACAATGCGTGTAATATCGCGTTTGAAGAAATAAATTTCCACGGAATTCCAAAAGGTAAGGTTTCCAGTACGAAGCTGATTCACTGCATAATTATTTATACTGTTTGAAGTGAAATCCGCACACTCACTGCATTTTATGTCGAGTGGAGGTACTCTCTCGCCTGAAAATAGAAAGTGTCTTTGATATATATGGTAATCGAAATCTGCAGGTCCATGTGTTCGAATGGAGATGCAGTCATCAGAGGCATCATCGGAAGGTCCTCACCATCGAGGGAAATGGAGAAAACGGCTGGCACAAGCAATCCAACGAGAGCAAACATCTTTGAAAACGGAAGAAAACAAAAGGGGATCACTATTGACATTTCTTGGAGATAAATGATGGGAAAGGAAGGAAATACTTGAGAAGATGGAATACCGGTGGCATTGTCGTCGGTGTAGAGAATGCAGAAGTTGAACAAAATGTTGAGATTCTTAAAAAATATTGGAAGTTTGGCACTGAATGTTTTCCTTCTCCCTCGCGCAATCTTACAGTTTGCTTGTTCACAAGTAGGTCCCTTGTGACGGGAAGCGCAGCACCTGTGTATTAAAAACGTGAAGTGCGAACGATTTAGAATGACACAAAAGAGTCTATACCCACCCACCGCCTGAGCAATGCAAAACAACGTGGCAATTGTCTCTGTACACTTAGCAATGCGTCACCTGGTACATGACATATAATTATCATTTGGCACACGACACGATCCAGCGGAAATATAATGCATCCTACAGGGTGCATTATATTTCCATTACCTCCGTCCTTCATTAATCAGTTACAATTGCAATGCATTATCTTGTGCAGACCCGAGCCGCATGCATTCATGCGAAATCTTTTGACTTTTATCTTTCTCGGGGTCTTAGGTGGTCATATATGAAGTAAGTGATATTGAAAATCAGCGGGGATGGGTCTCAAATCCGAGGGTTTTACGATTAGGGTTGGGGGGACACTTCCATTGAGATAAGGTTTCTCTTAGTGAAACACGTTCATCCACAGACTTTGTCAGCATAGGGAGTGTTTATGTACCGAAACAGTCCACAATATTTTCGATAGATCTACTGGAAGACCCTAGTCGAAAGAATGAAATATTTAGAGCTTCAAATCCAGCAACGCTGGATTTGAAGCTCTAAATATTTCAAAACGAATGTCAACATCTCCGACTAATATTGAATCGTCGTGCTTTTGATATAGGCACATGCACTTTATGAGTGTAAGCCAAAATACAATAATAGCTATGATCGCAAGCTTCTTAAAAGAAAGCAAACTACGGTAGAGCAAAATTGGCAAATCAAAACGAGCAATCCACTCGTAATTCTCTTGCATTTCACAGGGCATTCATCAGGAAACCAGAAAGAGAACTAACCTGACTGCGATCGGTCGACTTTGCAGTCCCTCACGAGTGTGCGCGCGGTGGTGCCTCTCCCCTAAGACTGAGATCATTCAATATGACGCTTTCAGTTGTCGTGAAGGGGCGAGGCACTCCTTTGCATTCCGCATCTCCATCGACCGATCATCTAGTTGGGGTCGATTCTGACGCGTCGATTCACGAGGTCGGAAACGACAACAAACGTAAACAAAGTTAATGATTTATGGATCTCCATATGGCTTTGCCGTGCCAGTATCGATTCCTATTTGCATCTTTGCACGTGCATCTTTCATACACCGACTTCAGGGTTCTTCAATTCATGAATATCGATGCTTTGTCTCTCGCTTTCAAGTCATTTCAGCTAAGAGGGAAGGAATATTTCTCCTAAAATGGTGGATTGGTGATAATGAGTTACGTCCACGACCCTTGATAGATGAAACTGAATCAACCTGGAAACCCTGTAAAATGGGTATTTTCACGAAGGAGATTCTATATGTATTCCATTTTTAAAATTCCCATCGCTCCATATTGGTCAGTGCACTTCCTAGCGATGAAGAAATGGCACAGGGAATGTCGAAGCGAGAAGAGATGGATATCCGGGCAACCCCGGAAAGGGGTTGCCCGGTTTTCTCACGGGCTGGCTGCATGGCTCTGGGGAGGCTTTCCGCACTTAGTCTCTCCATCCGAGATTTTCAATATTAATTTTCGCCCATAACAACCACCAACTTGCACATTTTTATTTACTTAGATTACACCTCGCAATGACGGTAATGATTGAAAATCAGCCTGCATTGGCGTATCGTAGTAAATCGGTCGGTAATCCCTGTCCTGCTTTTTCCAAGTGGCGCATCATTTCCTTCACGGATCTGGAAATTTATATGTTTGGAGTTTTTTTTTTCCTCCTCGTTTACTTCCGACCCCTCGGTGTCTACTTTTCCTAAGTACTAAGTATCCCGACGTAGAATTCAAGCATTCTGCAATTAATTACGTTTCATTAGTTCCGCTTCCTCCCGAGCTCAGAATTTCTGTCAACGCTCAACGTCTTCGCTTGGTTTCTTTTTGCTTTCTAGCCTACGTCTGAGTTTTTGTGGTTTTTTTGCGCATGAGAACTACTTTCTTTGCCTTACCGTTCCTTTCTTTCAATCTGTCGCGCCCGATATTATTAATCAAAGCGAGATAAAAAAAATGTAGCCATCGTTGTCCGTCCAGTTCATCTTCCTGAAATCGCTCATACGATTGGAAACTCCCAGACCGGGGGTACACAACCCGAAAGACTGCGAGATGCCGGTCGCAATTTTAACATGCCTACTCCGGGCCGTGCGGCCTCCAGATCATTCACCCTCTACGAGGCTGGCTGAACATAACTGTCTGGCAAACAGGGCAGGAGACATTA